TATAAAAGACAATGGCAAAGATGCAAATTTGCAAACTGGAGTTGGAAGACTCCAGTTTATTACTACTGATATTCATATTTATAACATTCCAACTTATCTTTGTCAACATACCTTCTATGTGGTGTGTTAGAGAAGCATTATTAACTTAGGCAGCAGTAGCTTGTGGTCTTGCTATGCAATAGTGAGTTCCCCTAACCTTTCCAGCTCTGTGATTTACAGTTTAAAGTGTACCTGTTGTATATTATATTTTAGCTAAAGCCCAGAGCAGGCACCTCTGAGTGTCTGCATGCTGCATCTGATCCACTGCATCCAATAAACCCATGATGCAGGTACCCATTGGTTCCTTCAGTGGCTCTTGTTCTGCTCCCTTCCACTTTATGCACCTTAATAATGTTTGGTGGGTCCATCCTTTCTAGTGATGGGCAAATAGCAAGGCGCCTGGGCCAGAAGGCTGGTTGGTACATGCAACATGGGTATCAGTGGCATAGAGGCATTAAAGAGCGGATCAGATGTGACAAGCAGAGAACTAGGGATGATTGATAGTCTTTGTACGAAAGACTTTCAATACAAAATTAGTATATCTATCATGAGAGAAATGTGTGGGTATTTAGAACCACTGATCTAAAACAAGAGATCTGTTATTGAGATAAGAAATTGAGACAGTTCTCTGACTTTCAGATTCTAAATGTTTGTTCTATGTGTAAGACTCAGAAGTAGAGCTGCAGCTAACGATTATTTTCAAAATCGATTAGTTAGCTGATTATTAAGTTCGATTAATCGGTTAATCGGATAAACAATAAAATAAGTTTTAAAAAATGGCTCCAGTGATGGGACTACTAGTTTTTATTGAGATTGTAGTCCATCACAAGAGCAAGCTTGGAGCGGTGGAAGTAAAAAAGAAAGAAAAAAAAAAAGTGTGGTGTGCAATATAGTGAAATGGAAAGTGTAAAATTATACAGCAATGAATGCAGAATGGCACCAGCTATAGAGGACTACAAATCCCAGCAATAGTACATTATACAGCGCAATGCAGAATATCACCAGCTATAGAGGAGCACAACAAATCCTTATAGCTGGTGGTATTCTGCATTGCGCTGTGTAATATATTGTTGCTGGGTTTTGTAGTCCTCTAAAGAATTACTCAAGTCAGAAACAGCCAGGCAGTTGTCAATTTTAGAAAAAGTTGAGCAATTAGCAGCCCCATTTTTTCCCTCACGACCGATGCTGTACTTTGAGACATATCTAGAATTCCATAGTTGGCTAGGACCAGGGCTGTCTCTGGTTTTAAAACTCTGTAAACAACTAAGCCAGAACAAGTATAAAGCCAGTGAAGTCAGGACACAAAGAAAAAAATCATTTTAAATCTGTCTAAAGTTATGAAAATACATAGTTCCGAACACTGTACTTTTTCATTCAGCTTATTATAGTTTTAGCCCTTATGGATTTATCATGGTCACTATAGGCCTAAACCTAGAGATGTCAATGATTTTACATGCTAACCTTTACTATCATCAGCACTGTACATTCTGTTGAAAGTTCACTTTATATTAAATTATAGAAAGAAATGTCAGAATAATGGGCACTGTGACAGAGTAAGCTAAGTTCATGGCTAAATCAATGATTATGTTACACACTCTTTGATTATGTTCTTCCAGGATCTAAAGATGTGAACTTTGTCTACTGTTAGGAGGAAACTACATAGGTGTCCACTAAGTAGTTCCTTATGGCTGTGTAATAGGCATTGAAATGTATTGTAATAATATTCGCACTACAGATTGCAGAGATAATTGTGCTTATAAAATAACATGCCTACCTACCACACATTTCCTTAAAAGAAAGAACATGTATGTTAGCCACGATCATGATTTTTATAAGATCTCCTGCTAGTGAAATTGGTTTCAGGAGACTTGTTCTAAGTTTTAGGCCTCACTAGTTCCTGAATAGCATCTTCATGTGGTTTCTTGATTGTTTTCACAGCATGTAGATGGATAGAGCATAAATTCTCCACAAATTCCATCCGAAGAAAAGACACAACTCTGGGAAAACATTTTCCATTTGACTTACTATCAAGAAGAGTACAGCAGTTCAAAAACAGGTCTCCACTGCCTTGCTGACAAGTGCAAGAAACCCTTGCTGTAGACCTGCATGTTAGCCAGTGTTTATTCACAGCCAGAAAGATTGGTGACACACTGCACGACAAATAGTTTTATTTCAAGTCAATTGGAAACAGCTGCCCTAAATATCATTTCATAGAGGAATTCAAGTGTGATGAAACATTGAAATAAATGAGTCAGCAGCAGAAATCTGGTGGCCGCCTAGACTGTCAATGTTACACATCAACTCTTTATTGGTTTAACAGAACATCCATGAGGGTGGACGGACACAGCTGAGATATCCAAACCTCATGCCATTCCGCAAAAGCTGTCCACAGGGACCCAGTTACTTTCATGTGCTCAGTCTGTCAGCATCACTGCACTCAGTGGTAACATCTTACTGTCTTCACATTATTTACCTCTAGAGACTGCACACATCTGATGATTTTTTTTTTCTAACCGCCAACCCTCACAAAGCCAGTTTTAATGTTAAATCTAAATGCTAACCTAAAAAAACCTTATCCTGCACTACAGAAAAGAACTGACAGTGCATGTAAACTGGTTCATCGTGTATTACAGAAAAAGTAAACACAATCTAATCATCAGTCTGTGATGCGTCCATGTAGGCAAATTTTTTGGCTTTCTAGAAGTGATTGAAAGTCAGGCATGACAAACAATGTAAATGTTGGTATGCTCTTAAACCCTGCTGTTGCATTTTGCCAATACATCATAACTTGCCCATGTGTCCTGTTAACTAAACTTTTGTTCTTCTGTGTTGACAGCTGATGGCTAGAAGTTTTTAAATTGGCAGCATGGCGCAATGTCATGTGAGATGCATTGTCCTCGATAGGACAATTCCACACTCACAAACTTTGTGATTGTTCTTGTACTATTACGGCCAGCGCTGATTATATTCTTCTGTTGTTTGTCCTTTTTTTTTGGCCACAGTCTCTGCACTGTGCATACACCAATATGTACGCCTTGCAGCATCAAATGTGTTGCTAGGCATACTAGGCTTTTTTGAACAACTTCTGCGGATGGCAATAAGATCTTTGGCACCACTGGTGAAGTACCGTGAAATATTTTTTACATTGTTAGGGGTTTAGGTCAAGTAAGTTGCTACATTTTCCCAATTTCTCCTGGAGTAACAGAGGAGCAGATGTGCCTTACATCTGTCACCATTAGTTGGTGCTGTAAGAAGAGGACCCCATGTATTTCAAGAGCTCTCTTAAAGCTCCCAACTAGTGCTGAAGTGCATATGGGCTGAAATCAGCTTGGCAGGGACCATGTACACTCGTGGTCTTCCATTAATGGGTATGCCAGCCTGTTAAGTACTCTGAGCTGTTATCTTTTGGGGAAAAGGCTACACAAATGTAATCTTACAAAATTGAAGAACAAAACATTCTACAACAGTATAGAAATGGTGCTAAACTTTGCAGGTTTGAAATGACTGCCACTTGCTATTTTTCCTGGGTTCAAATACACAATATCCTGGCAGTTCTAAACCCATCAGTTTAGAAAACATGTCCATTTATATCCTTCCCACTATAAGCAAGTTTGATAACAACTACAAAGCACTGTTGACTGCAAATTGCAGTTTTCATTGTAGTTTTGCTGTTTAGAAAAGCACTTCACAGATTTTGTGAGCAGTAAAATAGCCAGTGTATGTCACACTTCAATAAGACTGCAGTATTATTTGTTCAAAAACCTTTACATTTCATTGCCACAGTGTGCACCTAATAATGTTTGTAAAAGCACCATTTTCTGTTTAGTAAATGTAACTTGTTGCATCCTACACATCTTGTATACTGAGAACTGAAGAGTTCATAAGCCTTTAATACAGTGCCCTAAAATACAAATATAAATGCAGATGGCATTTTGATAGGAAACTCAATGTGTGTGGTGTCACAATACCATGCCATGAAAACAAAGATTGTCTGAGGTGAAAATATCCTATTAGTCTGACCATGCAGACTGCAACTGATTAGACTGTAGTATATTTTCATGTGGTATGACAGCACACATCAATAGGGAAATTGTATCCCATTGTAAGAATGGTTGAATGTGCAAGTATGCTCCAATTGCAGAACAGGGCACAAACCTGGGAAAGGCGTGATGCAGTGGGACTGGCTTATCAGCAGGCATCCTAAGCTGTCCGGTCAATTGTTCCAGCTAAATGGCATCATGCCGCAGTCATCCAGGGGTTTCATAGACATGAAGTAATTGCCCAATCTGCCTGGCCTGGGACAGGACAACTGAAATCTCATGCTCATCTGTGCTTATAGCTGTACTTTGGGACTTAATAAAAATACCCTTGCCGTGGAAGGCCCTGCTGCAAGGAGCAGAGATCCATTGAATGAATAAAGCAGAAGCAAAGACATCCTTGGACTGCGGCATCCTCTCCAGCAAAGAGAACGGTAAGCAGGAAAGGGAAGACATCACCAAATCCCACTTTAGATCTCATCAGACTAGCAGTCTGGGGCAGAGGTGCCTCTCACACAGCACATATACAGCTATGACGTTGTAGGCAATGGAGTGCCTAGGCAAAGTCGCGGGCCAGGAAATGTGCTGCTATTTTTCAGGAGGAATTCAAAATAGATTTTCAGGGTATTGGCTGGGCACATTTGTAGATGTTCCCTATAAGATAACAAATCTTTGCTTTGTGAGTTCAGTATGACTTTAAAAAAGTGTGTGTTGGGAGAAGGCAAGGTCTCTTGCTTGACCTCTGTCTATTGAATATGCTCAGATTTACACTCATGAAAAACATGCTGCTTATTGCCAGTGGAATTTGTGCAGCTTTTTGTTTCAGTTAAATACTAATATGAATGATGCTCGTTATCATCTTTTCTTTGCGGTTAGTATTCTAAAATCCCTCTAAAACAATTAGCTGCTGAAATGCTGTCTCACCTTGTGGTTTTTGCCATGACGAAACATCATCCAGTCCTCACCGTTGGTGCTAACTTCTAGCTTGTATGATTTGACATAATAGGCATTCTGTGTATCTTTTGAGATAGCACCTTGGGTTGCCACAGCTGTCAGCAGAGTCAAGAAGCGGAGATCAATCTGTAGGTATATTAATGATAACAATATACTTAGTATTTTGGAGCTGCACACAGTTTACTAGTAAAAGTCTGACAGCTTAACTCCCAGACGAGACCCATCCAAGCTGTTTGCTCTAACAATTGCATCTTTCTACAGTGTGTAGCAATCACTGTTTAGAACCGTACGTGGCTTAGCAGTGCAGCATGACAATAGGTATTAGGCTCTGGGCAGTGTTATCTAAAAGTTGAACTAAGGATAAACAAATGCTCACATTGAGATCATTGATACAAAAACTGACAGCATGCACATGTTTCTACACATAATGAATAATGGAACATCAGTGGGAGAAAACAGGACATTCTTGCTGTTTCCAGTTCATTTTCCATCATTAGTTTTTGTAAAGAAACCATATGCCCTGGCAAAAAAAACCTCATATAAGCTACACATTAGGGCTTATGATCATTCCATCCGGAACATTCAGACTGAACAAGTATTTATCCAGCTAGTGCTGGACAAATCCTCTACTAGGTATACGTGGATAGAGTAATACATGCTTAATCAGCAGATTATGATGCCTTGGCAGTCAGAACTAATTTATTGCAATCATCATTACGCTCATCATACATGGTCAGGTGGTTGCAACATTGAATTCATGCTAATGAATTTGGTCCTTTATTCCATACAGATCAATGGCCTGTCTCTGAGTACCCCCTCCATTGCTACGATAACCAACATAGTAGACATTTTTTAGATTATTTGTCGGTATATTCTACTTTTTTAACATCTACATTTTATTTAATGAACTGTTGTACTATATGTAAAATAGAATGATCAGGTAGTTAGACTGGCACGAGTGAGTTTTAAGACGTGGCCACAAAAAAAACACTTTACCTGTTCTTTCTCAATGTTTTCAATGGATTTCCTAGACAATTAACCATAGCAGTCATGCCCATTCAACTTTTATATACATGGGGCAATAAAAGCAATGTGATATACTGCTACAGAAAAGTTCTGCACCCCTCATCCTCCACCCCCACTCAAAGGTTGGCTCTTGCAACTGTATCTTTGAAAATCAGAAGTAGTTATCATGTTCTGCCTATAACTTTAAAAAATGTATGGAGGCTTTATCAAGGAGTTAACACCACTAATGATGTGATGCAAGAAGCAGCCTATGCAGTCATAAAGTTTTTCTCAAAAGAAAAAATTCAATGCAGTAACGCCTAAGACACTTTGCATTTTGCTTGGTGGCTTCTTTCCCTGCCAGATTACTAATGTGGAATAAATTATCTCAGTATTTGGCAGCTGGACGCAGCCCTACTGAGACAATGTTCCTTCCCCTTGGAACCATAGGTGGGACTATGAAATGCCTTTACATTTATAGCTTGACCTTCATAACATAGGAGGTGGAGGGGTTGGCAGATGGCAGTAGATATTACACCGTAGGTTTTATTTTCATTGATGAAAGTGTTAAATCCTCTCCCTGCTGCTATTCAGGAAACTGTCTTAGCTAAAGGTTACAATTCTACTCTGTGTATCAGTCACAGTAATGGCAGATACATACCGAATGTAACTATCATGGTGTCAGAGTCACTGACAAAGCTAAATGAACCATCTTGAATGCACTTTTTAGATGTGTTTGTCTATCTGTGATCATTTAACCATTTACCTACATTTCAAAGCAGGAATTCACAGCCAAAGTATAATAGATTGGTAAAATATTTTTTAGATGACTCTGAAAAAATATCTGTTATTACCTCTCTTTTGTTGGCTTTGTTATGTTTATGGGATTTGGCATGTACATATAAACAAATAACCAGCTGGACACTACTCATTGTCCACCTGTAGAAGAGGGTACGGTTGGACAAGATGGTAAAATTGGCTATGATGGTGACAGCCAACGTTTGCAATGTTATTTTAAGACCAAATACAATTCTGCATATCCATTTACTTTTAACCATTAATTTTTCTGCAATAAAAAAAAGTTACTGTGCCGCATGTGTGACTTTATGCTGTACCCTTCTATTTTGTAAATTTGAACGTGTTATTATTTAGCTCACACTTCACACTGTACCACAGGCTGCCTCAGAAGCAGTTATACTTTTTTCCTGTACACTAAATCTCAGTTATACTTGGCTGGCATCCTAAGGGAGCTGACTGGTGACGGGGTGATTTAAAACGCTGCAGCCTGTTTCTGCAGAGGATCAATTCATTACGGCACTCCCACCAGCCTTAGCATTATGCCTCCTGACTAACAATTAATCCTGAGCATGGTGCAGTGAGATCCACTTAAGAGGGCTACCTTCCCAATGCATAGCAAAAGCTTCCAAACCGCTGTCTTTTAAGGCATTCAAATGAGCCCTTGACAGGAGCCATTCGTAATACATCAATATACCTGATTTAAAGCAGTTCACTAGACACTGCAGCATAAGCTTTTTCCCTCATCTATTGGCATCACTTCACAAATGATTATTACAGCAGCAATGCAGGTGTGGGATACAGTCTCCAAACACAGTGAATGATTATCTACATTTACACACAAGGCTGCATCTTGGCTACATCAGAGGAATACATTGTATTATAATATAATAATAAAAGTAATATAATATCTAAAAATCTGTCCTGCAAGGCTTATGGTTTGTCTGGTAGTAGCAGAGGCCCTAAACCTGCAAGCATGCCAATGCCTTTCCTAATAATAATCAATGGTACAATTTTAGCCTTTATGTGGAAACAAATTAAATCGGGGACCGGATTTCACATAAATTCCATTGCATGTAAAGTAATGCTTTTGATTATCTTGAATTTGCTGTATTTTTCAAAATAGTACAACCCAAATAGTGAAGGTTTATCATCAAAACTATTGTGGTATTTTGTCTATACCGACAACACTTTTAAAGGTTACAATACGACTCTTTCTAGGTTTTCTGGATGAGCCAGTACATACAGATAAGAGAATGCTGTAAATTTGGTTTCCCCTTGCCACATATTATACATTAGTTTGGGCTATTCAGTAATAGTGTGGGGATATAAAGTTGATATTTACCAAACCCTCCTCCTATTATTATTATTTTTTGCCCGTGTGTATGTTTTGATCAGAATTACATTGAGAATAATAGGTGGAATATGCAAACACCAAATATCACATATTTGTAACCATTACTACTGATTTAGACACATTTGTTTCATAATAAGTGCATTTTTTACAACAGCCATAGACAGCTTTATATAGGCTCGTAATGTTCCTAATTTTGAACATCACTTGTGATTGTTTGGGAATATCAGTTAGTTTGTGGTGTTATCACTCAAGATTTGCCAACTTGCTGAAAATATTTTCTGCAAGCTGGTCTCATCTTCTGACAGAGTAAGGAAAAGGTACCAAACATACATAGGTGTCAATGCCAGGCAAGGACTATAGCTGCTTCCTTACTCAAGGATATCCTTACAAATCTATCTATGGCTACCCTTACAAAATTAAACCATTAACTTGGAACACAAAATTAAACCTGGTTGGAATTGTCTGCTGATTTTCTTTTGAGGGTTCAGAAGAAAACACCCCATTTAATTTACCCCATTTGTCTGATAAGAACAATACAGGCTATATATAGTGTGTGTGTTTTTGTTGGTTATATAAGGTGTTGTTTGTTCTTAAGCTTTTTACCTAGCAAGTCATGGGTACTTTAGCTTGTACAAGAATAAAAGAGATTGCCAGCTCACCTGCAGGTATTCCCTGTTGTTGTCCATAATGGGTGTCCAACCATTGTCATCACTGTTAAGCTTTCCCTGCTGGGCTGTCCACCTTCCATCTGTATATGTTGAAGATGCAGTAATTTGCTCATTGGATATTCTCCTAGACTCCATTCCCAAAGGAACATTGCATTGAAATGCTGAACAAGACACAAAGCCATATATTAAAACCTAAACTGACCTCATTTGCAGACTTGCCTTCCATGATAATCAAGTTTTCACATAACAGGTGAGTAATATTCTACAGACTTTCTCAAGAGCTTTAATGCTCTTAAATTAAATGTACATTTGTGGAGCATTCCGTGCAATTTGAGATTCTGCGTGAATCATCCCATTCATGAGCTTTCTAATTGTTACAGACAAGCTCTGCTATCTTGTCTCTTAACGGTGAACATCCACAACAGCAGAGCAAATTAGGGACAGCAAAACACGGCCTTATCACAAGAAAAATGCTGCTAATCTTTGGCAATTTAAGCCTTCAGCAGATTAACAGAAATACTAATTTCTTGGTGTTATTCACAGACTCCTGAGATGGGCACATTTGGGCCTGTTTCATAACTCTATCCATACACTGCACTGTATCTAGTTGAGATTTAATTATTTTCTTTGGAGGCTACTCTGCATATTACAGTCAGATGTCTGTACTTGTGATTCCATCCCAGAGCTGTCTGTATTAAAGCATTCTTGCCTATAACTGGCACTAATGATATAAAATGATAATTAATAAGGTTGTACAGTTTCTCCAGCCACATAAAGGAGTGCTGTATTTTAACACCGGAGAAGTCTTGCAGACACTAAGGTGCTACAGAGACAATAAGCAGAGCGCATAATAAGTGGAAAATGCAGGAACAGGCTAATTAAAAAAACATCAACATCAATGTATGATTGTGCTCAATTTCGCAACCTATAAACATTACAGTTGGCTTCCAAAAGATGTTCTTTAATTAAAGCCACTCTGCGGGAATTTTATTCCCAAGGTATTGTGGGAATCTGCGGGTAAATGAGAGAGCCACACAACTGTGCATCCCACGAATGCTATTTTCTCAGCAAAGGCAACAAATAAATATAAAATTCCTGAGGAAAGTTTTAATAATGAAGATGCATAATTTTGCCAGCAAAAAGAATAATATTAATGCAGTATTGCTTGAGAAGACAAACATTTCAGACAATTATGCACTGAGGGGACACGAGTGACTGACACTGAAATTACTGTAGTGCTGAATATGGCTACAGCTTCAATAACATTTGATTGAAACAAAACATGTAATGACAATCCAAGCAGAGGGACAGAGAACACTGGTTTAATATGATAGACATGGCAAAACCGTAGACGTGCAGGTATTACAAAGTTTTAAAGATCACAATGTGGTTGACAGACATACTGCTAGAGGAAAAGAAGATTTTTCAAGACCTGACAGCTAGACAAAAAAAAAAATATCCAACTTACTTTCGGGGACCTCCTGAGGGGCAAGGAAAAAACGAGCTGAAAAGCCATCTTTAGCTACTGCCATGTCGGTGTGAAAGGTGAGGGAGAGTATGCCAGTTGAAGAGCGGATCTCAGAGGGGGTCTTCGTACCGCAATACCTGCCAATCAAGGGCCCCACTGCGGAGAGAAAAGGGAGCATCAGTGTTATCAGTTGAGGGCATTAGAAGCTGTCACATCCTTCTGTGTTTTACTAATAGCACTCTGGTGCTTTCTTATCTGCTACACAGGCCACCGGCACTAATGGTATATGTAGAAGGCAGCTGCAAATTCCAGTAACCTAATACAATACACCACAGTCCAAAGGGTAGTGATTTGATTGCTTGGTGTCCTAAAAAGGGGAAAGTGGAAGAGGTAGAAAGGTTGATTTAATGGAAATACTAGGAAAACTGTGGTTGCTGTGCTGTTGACAATGAGAGTTGAGAAGACTTACATAGTCACTACTCACATCAACTGCACGCTGTTAGGGCGCAACATGCTTTGTCATGTCATGTCAACAAGCTTTGTCAAGTACTGATCTTACCATTAGTTTTCAAACATATAGCTAAGGTATCAAACAAAATAAATCTGCATTTCATTCTTTTTTTAAGACTTTATAAGACTGTATAATATTTTTACTCCTTCTTTATAGTATGATAGATAGATAGATAGATAGATAGATAGATAGATAGATAGATAGATAGATAGATAGATAGATAGATTTGTGTTTTTATGTAGAGATACATTTATACTTTTAAGGTTTAATTCACAAAGCTGAAAGATCAAGATAAGGATCCTTACTTTCAAAAAATGAGACCTTTTATTTTCAGAGTCCAATGAGAGTTAAAAATTATATTTAAATTGCTGAAAATAAAGATCCTTATCCTTGTGTGAAGCATCATAATTTGAGCCTTTAGTTTCCTTTTTGAAAGGTCTATACATTTCATACCATTTGGAATGCCATCCCAGATGTCCAACCAATCATATTTGCAGTCGCCGTCCCCAACTTGGAGAGGGTCATACTCAAGGTCAAAGGTCAGAAACTGCAGGATGATCTCCATCTTTGGCTTGGCCAGAATAGTAAATACACAGTCAAGGTTGTGTGGATATTTATCCGGATAGCCAGGAGATTCAATGGTTCCATTAGTGTTGGTGAAGTTCCTTGAACAATCTTCAGAGCCTACAATAACAAAACAGGAAGTAAAGATGCAAAGTTAAATAACCCTGCTGACCTTAAGAAATGAACACACACTACAAATGTGAATATGGTTACGGGAATAATATGTTTATATTAGAAAAGACACACCTTGGGAATACCAATTCGAATGAACAAATGCTATACAATTAACTCTTCGCAAAAGGCGTGTGCAATGTAATTTCGTCTAAACAAAAAACTATCCTAGTGGACGTTTCAAACTATTTTTAAATAAAATACCAATTAAAAATTACATTAAATGAGATCAATGAACCCACATAAGCAAAGAAATAACTTTAATGCAAAGACTTTCATATATTCTCACAGATATGATACGACTCTCATAAAGAAATCAAGCCATATTTAAAGAAATCTCATCTCTGGAGATCACTTGCAAAATTATTTTCAAAAGATTACAAACATAAAAAGTGAGGGAGGTTGAAGCTCTGGCTCTTCAGTTTCTGAGGATTAAAGAATGCTTTCTGCTCATCAGTAGACCAAAGGCTATTAATACTCTATTAGCGCCAACTTCAACAATGGCAACCATTGTACTGAATGAGCAAAGGGTCCTGCTGTGCTCTGTATCTTTGAGGTGCTTTAAGGGAATGATGCAGTGACTGAAGAAGAGGGCAAGCATGCAATTCACGTTTAAGCTAAAATATATGGCAAAGATGAAAAAAATCTACAATATACAATCAGAGTCCCATTCAGCATCTTTTAGCAGTCTCCCCGCTATGTCAGTATCATGCAAATCAGCACTGATTACATTTTCACCAAAGGTATACAGACATTTATTTTAAACATGAATTTAATTGAAATTAAATATAAAGGAATATTTGGTTTATACAGCCTTGATTACTGGGAATTAAGAGCAACCATTCGGCTTTTCTTGTTAAACACATATGAAAATTCTAATGGAAGCTCCACCTAGGAATTGTTTTTGTTGGATTCTCTCGGGTTTGAGATCTTTATCCATCTTGATTGGGTTGGCCAGGCTGTGTAAATCCTGCACATGTGCATCTGGGTTAATTTATCCCAGCACATAGCAGATGCGGGATTGTACGCTGCGCATGTGCAACTCAGTGTACAGCACAGGAGGTTTGCAAGGAAGACGGTAAGAATCCTCCACCTAGGAATTAGTTTAAAAACCTAAGACACCAGGATATGCGTACTTATTTTTGAAAAAGTGACAGTTATTTTTAGCTTAATTCAATGGGATTGGAAAATTACAGGCACAAAGCTGAAAATGAAGATACACACCCTTGTGTAAATCTTTGTGAATCAGGCCTATATTAATAATTTATAAATAAGTAAATAAATAAATAAAAAAGCTTCTTTTTCACAAATGTTTACATTCACACTAAAGTTCCACTAAACATGCCGGGTTCACATGGAGAGGCATCACTGTGCTCTAAGCCACAGGACAACAGCTCCCCTGTACAGTTCTGTTTTGACTTTAATTTTGGGGAGGAAAAGTGGGGAGGGGGGCAGTAATTGGCCAGAGCCCTCTGGAACAATGACTGCTGTCACTCTTACTTCTGTACCACTGCTATAAAGAAGAAATATTTGCACCTAACATCCCAGCCATCAGTTGCTTCCAATAAACACAAATGTATTTAGTGATCTATTGGTGAATCAACCACCATCATTCAAACACATGAAGCAGGAAGATTTACCTGCAGTGAATGCTAGCTGAATGTTAGGTTTACTGCTTCATAAATATACCCCCTAGTGTTTACATTATGGAAATTTTAAAATGTGAATGAAGCCAACCTAGTAGAGCCCTACACAGTGAAATGCAACCTTTTCCCAACACATTTCAATGTTCCAAATCTACTGCTTCGTACAGTATGTAGGTGGTATGAGTGGCCTTCACTTTCATGTGATTTCACTTACTGTATAATATATATACTGTATAGAGACAGTATCATTTTCCCTGCATTCTGTTTAAACCAGGCTCATAATGCAGTAGGCTGAGAAAAACTTGGCTAATGCTGTTACGGATGTCAGTGTACGCTACCAGGATTTTATTTGGCCATTACAGAAGTCAGAGCAATAAACCAGATACTGCAGTAGAATCTGCTGCCACTATTCTGTTTCATAACACTGCATTCTATTAATTCAGAAAGGAGAAGTGTGATTGACAGCTGTGTATTATGGAAGAGCTACCCTGACTGCTAAAAACTCAGACTAGCTTTTATACTCTATAACTTTATCCATCATTTGTCTGAAGATCTTCCCTTGTATGGGGAAATGAAACACATTCTGGCCAGCCGCTTTGGTGGAAATGTGTGGACTCCTGTTTTCTTGACACCTGGGCCATCAAAACTCATTTACTGCACAATGAAAATGCTGCCAGGCAGCTTTCTTGAATATATTTATTCAGTAACCTTCAACCTTCAGCTTACTATTCAATTATCCCAAGATCTCGCTTTTCTTTTATATTATGTGCATAAATATTTCACTCTCATACACAGCATTGCTACAGACTGGGCTGGTGCGCATATGCAGAACCTGATCTGAGATTCTGTTCACATGCACAAGCTGATACAGCATGCAGGACCCAAGACAAAAGCTAGATCAATGATACAGCACTAATCCAGATACCTTTGGAACCAGGCACCGCGGAAATGCATATCTAAGATAGCTCACAAACGGCACACTATTTCTTTGTCTATCCCGTATCTTGATGAGACGGTATATTTCTACAATTTCAGTGCAATACAAATGAGACCAGGTTGGCAGATATTTTCAATAGCTATCTGCCAGCAGCACTAACATTAAAAATGCATAAGGGAAAGGAGAATGTTAAATGTACGAATCGAGTGGACAGGACAAATTCCTAGGCTGTGCCCGGCTCACATTTTACAAACAGTGCATAGAAAGCAATACCAAACCTGCAGCTGAACACAGCCTGAAGTGTTTGTAAAATGCTTAAGTCCTTCAATCATAAATCTGATGGTTTATTTCCATAAAATATACGTGTGCACAGGCATTTTACAAAAGGCGATCAGTGTATTCTGCTTTATGGGAATAATTTAGATCTGTAAAAAAAAAAAAGTTGAATAGACTTCTTTGAAGCATAGCAAAGAGGTTCTTTGTCACTTCCTCTGTGACCCCTGTGCTGCCACTGCTATAGAAGAGAACCCCCCAGGCACACTGACCCGTTGGCTTACCGACAGAACAATGTCATCATGATCTTAAATTGTGTATGCACAAAAAGGCTGTTGACAGAGGCACAATCTCCACTTAACCTTAGTTCCCTCAACAAATTTCTGAAAAAAGGTCTGGTGAAAAGGAGTGGGAGTCTGTTTATACACACAATGTGTCACTTAAATGTCCATGACTTTTTCCAGCATTTGAGTGTGATACCGCTACTTTCATAACATGGGCAGTATGCCTCTATTTGCTGTTTATTTTTGTACATTGTCTATTTATAGTTTCATGCTTTGAGAAGTACTGAGGTGGCTGTAGACCTCAAGTGGTGGTCAGGCAAACAATCCAACAATATTGTTTCCTAAAAGGAAACCTGTGCTGAGAGAAATAATAAAAGTGCTGTTGCTGACCTCTCCTGAATATACTAGTTGCCTAGATGTAATGTTGATCAACATTCTGTACTTTCCCTGTTGATGACCAACCAGTGGCTACATATTTGTTCCAGGTCAGCGAGTCAGAAATGACAGTCTTTACAGGAATAGCATGAATTCCAGACAACTTGCATTTTCCTAAGTCAGCAATGGCAAACTCCATATTTCCTTCTGCATTGGTGTCCACTAATAGGGCACACACATGTTCATTTATGTGTTATGAACCTTCATGTATGTTTTTAGAGCGGACACTCTTATTTTGGATATAAAAACTGAATTAACCAATCTGCTAAGATAAGGTTTGATACATAGGCATCATTATCATTGCCAATCCTCCAATCATGCAAATCTATTGTCTACGGAAACCTTAAAGGTCCATTCACACCAGCCACTGCACAAAACTCACAGCGGTGCCGGTGCCCCAATCCAGCACATCACACTGTGCACTCTTTTTTTTGTTCTAAAATGTGAGATTTCCATCAGTTCTAAGGGCACAGCGGGGCTCAAGGCAGTTATTCCGCTTCACATCCCGCTGTGCTGAAAAAAAGTAAGGCATGCCGTACTTTTTTCAGCGTACACCACTGCGTTTCCACTGCAACACGACGATTTGAAAGGTGTCGATCGGTGACAAGACAAATTGTCTTGTCTTGCATTTGGGCTGGAAACAACAGCCACTGCAGCCCCAATGCATGTGGTGTAAATGGACCCTTAGAGGGATACATTAAGGGTTATTCATACTGTTCAAAATATATTTACAATATATAATAAATAAACAAAGATTTTCCTACACTACCCCACTCATTTGCATGCTCCACTATGTGACATAAGTGCTCCAGACATGGAGGCCTGCTTGATGCAAAGCTATTGTTTAATTTTTGTTTTCTTGTTATTTGAAACTGACTAGACGGTGGATTTTCGAATAACAGAAGTGGAGCTTAAATGTCTAATTTGTAACTTATGACTCCAAGATGTCAGCTTGTCAGTTAAGTTGTCAAAGTGTCAATCAGCTACTGTTTGCCATGTCACACACAGGGTCAGTAAATAGTGCTGTATTTTAACAACTCCATTGTCTAGCAATGAGGTAGTTAAAGTGGTAAAGTAACAGTGGGGGGAACAGCATCAAAGGGCATGTTTATCCATACAAGAACTAGTATCCTTATATGGTAAACTCACCCCCCCCGTGTCTGTTTACAGCGTTAATAGACAAGTGGACTAGTCACGCAGCTTCCTACAAGGCGAATAGCCTTTGACACAGTGAACCACACAGAACAGACACTGCTATAAACAATAGGCCATGCATGAGGCTGCAGTGTCACATCCTCTATGTTAAACCATGTTTTCCGGCCCCATTGCAGATGTGATAATAATGCTTGATTTATCTAGAAGAAAAAAGTTTAAGGAAAATGTATGCATTATTAAGGTGTGAAAATCTTCCCTTGTGATTTCATCACTCGATTCAAAAAGCTTTTCAATTGCGAGAACCAGGTAAAAATCTATTTATTGAACAGTTTGAACGATAACAGCATTGGGGGGCTGAAAATAAATGCATTTAAAAATATTCAAAAGTTTTATATTATTAATATAATTTCAAACACTATTTGTACGGCTGGGGCCCAATCCCACAAGGAAAAACAGCACAGATTGCTTGTAATTTGTTATTGTTTAATAAAACATTTTATAATATTTTTATTAACTCTAAAATATAATTAATATAGCAATTACATTAATTCTCGTTCCCCAGGGCTTCCATTCACTGGTGGAGGATACAGAAGCCGGGTACAAATAACTCCCACATCCCATCCCATTTTTTGGCTTGGGGATGAGGGAGGAATCCTGATCAGCAGCACAGGACTCTGGTGAGATGTCTCACTGGGCTTCCTTGCTTACATCACTAGCTGTATTACCATAAAAGATATAATACATATTATTGTGAATTGTACCCCTCTCTCAGACTCCACCAGCAAACCTTTGGTCCCCTATGCAGTGTCCGATTCTGTGAACTGGTAAAGCGTTCCTTTGTCTATGTTGTATTCCTTTGTGTGCTCTTAATAATTGTAGGTCCTCCGTTCATCTAGTGACTGTGTCAATAGGCAAACATATTCTAAGCAAGGTCTTATGGGTGCACCACTCTTCATGTGCATCATAGATGCCCTCATGTGGTCCAGTTTTAAAAATTATGTCACAGTGGCGCCATGTGTCTATAAGGCTGTGTGATGCATCATCAAGGACCTCTTTGGCAGTCCACAAGCAAATTGGAAAGAAAATAGTGATCATATAATTACCCGAGTTGCTCTAAATCTTAGTCCATGCCAACCAGTTTGATCAACAATAATTGTAAGCAATTATACTCTGTGAAGCTCTATTCCGTAACATGAAATAATAAATACTTGATACATTTCATTTAGAGTGTAAAAGCTCCTATGAGTGTATTTGATTGTCTCAAAAACATAATCAAATATATTTGTATGACACATAATTAGATGATGCATATGCCACTGGGCTTATTTCATAAATAAATGCAAAAGGCAATGATTATGTGCGAAGTGCAGTAACCCAAAGCAATAAGCCATATTTCAGATTACTGCAGTCAAGTCAGTCAAAAATGAATTCTCATTGATTACTATGTACTGAAGCCCTAAGCACATACATATGTTATGTTGGTTATAGGCTTAACCTCTAACTGCAAATACCTGTTACTTTCAAAGCTTCTCTATTAATAAAACTGATCTATAGAGGTTAGGAATTGCATATATGTCTTAAAACATTTATTTGGTATGCTTGATACACATGAATTCATGGTTAATTTTTGTTATGTCTTTAACAAAAAGCTGACTATGAAGAAGTAAATGATCTGGGAGGTATAGTAACCACTCTTCAACTCCATACATAATGATTTGCAGTAGTGGAAGAAATGAGGCTTTGGGTCTCAGGTTGTAAAACTCAATTGACCTTAAACACTTTGCCCTTGACTTCAGTGTGTCACTAGAATGATCAGTTGATTGGAAAAGCAATATGGTGGAATGTCCTAATGATCTGGAATGATCTAAGAGAATACTTTGCTGATCAGCTTGCAGGCTTATTTAAAGCTGACTGGGATGAAGACATAAGAACTCATAAACAAGTATTGATTAAACATATGCATCAATTTAAATCACAGCAGTCTTCAAGAAGAGGGATACAGAGCTGGGTTAAACAAGAAATGATATACATTTAAAGAATTACGCATAGGTTGGGTAGCCACATAACCATATACTAAGAGTAAAAAATCAATTTGCCCTTTCATTTTACAAATTACAGACTGTACTAGTTAGATCATAACATTTTCCAGTTAAAGCTGGGCTATAGAATTTGAATCATCACATTTAATGTGTATACTTTCAACACATAGGATTTGTAAACCATGCCAGTTCACATCTGCTACTGTAATGAACATAGGTGGGCAGCTGAATACTTGCTGAATGAATTTCACAGAAGTCCACTAAGAGTTGTGAGTCAAAAAATATAAATGAATTGACTATTCTCTGTGGGTCACCTTTCTAACAGTTACTGTGGGGGAAACAATGTTTTTTTTTTTTAGACTGACCTGTCTTGAAGATCTCATAGCGCAGTGAAAATCCAGCACCCTGACGGCCATAGTCAGAGATAAAGCGGATGTAGATGTGGGAACCGGATGACGTGACTGTAGATGGAGCAATATTTCCACAATGTTTACCCATTAGATCTGCAGTTTCCGAGTCTCCATCTCGAATTTCAATGAAATCATACCTGTGTAATAAAAACATTCAGATTTAATACTCTTTTGAAGGACAATTTTTAAACAGTATTTAATAGGTACGCATCATAACATTGTTTTCCTGCACAATTATTGGCTACACACAACGTAACATAATATTCTAAGCAATTGGGATGTTATTTATGGAACCAATGATTGTGTTCCTACAGGCTCCAGTCATGGAAATCCAGCCCTGGTTAAGGCATGTAAGTTTAAGCTTATTCTCTCCAGATGCACTGTAAGCGTGTAAGGGACTCAATGAAAACAGTAGATTATCTCTATAAAAACCTATGCTGAGGGAAAAGGGAAAGCTGTAATTTCAGACCTCCTTCTGAAACTGTCTGGCCTTCATGGTGATTCTCTAACTTCAATACCCACTGGCCCGGAGACAGTATGTGCCTGAAGTCAGAATAAAGTCAGAACTCCAGATCTACATGCCTGTTCTTTGATCTCAGACTCTAATTATTGAAAACATTCAATCACCATGCAGCCAGGCAGATAGTATTTTAAGAAGGAGAGACCAGCAGTGACAGTCTCTAATCACAAGCCTTCTTTAAAGCAACCCTGGCCCATTAAAAAAAATATATATAAAAACTAGATCCAATAGAAAAGTCTAAGTACTTACCTCTCTGACAGGCAGAAAATCCAAACTCCACTGTCTTCAGGTGCTACAGCGTCCAGCAGAATCTTCAAATCCAGCACACTTACAGATACAGTATATCAGATGCATGGTCCCCTGCTGTGTTCAATGGTGCGTCCATTGAACCCCATATCCCTGCTGTTTTACAGCAACATAGCTGCCAGAGGATCTAACCAGAGCGTGGGCACTGGATACAGGCATCTGAAACTGCTGGATTTGTTGAATTCTTAAGATTATTCCAGAGGCTTTAATGATTGAAGATAATGCAGCTTGGACTTTCCGAGTTTTCTATTACATTACCCATTTTTCAGATTTTGTTTTGAAAGCGACAAAGTGGTTTTAAGATTGTTCTCCAGATGAACTGACAACCAAATACTTGCTAAAATATTTTAGCACCATTACGGATTGGAAATTTACAGTTACAACAGCTGGGATATTGTCACGTCTTTGACTTGGCCAGGAAGTAGGACTTTAAATCACATAATAGTACATAATTTTCCGATGTCACATTTTAGTCACATGTACTATCACATTCTCTAGTTACCTTCTCTAGTGAGACTAACAAACTTGTAACACATTAATAAAATGTGAACTATGATGTCAAGCTCGATTTTTCATCTATTCGAGATGTCCACTCCACACAAAACTGTCAATGGTTTTGTACATATACACAGGCAGCCAAAAGTATAAATTGCCTTCTTAAATTCAAGACATTGATAACAGCAAAAGTAATTCTGGAAATCTTCACTCACATTGCTTCCACAGCCATATGTTTTACATTGAGTGTCATGTTGGAACCAATACAGGAAGAGCCATACAAACTATTGCATATTTGACTTTGATATCCGTTTGGGCGCCTTGCCTTTTATCGTGGAAAATTTCTTGGAAACACTATAGCCCAGCCATTAACATTCTATTGTGATGGATACATTTTGTGTGATGAAGCTGAACAATGCAAAAGAGGTCAGGCAATATAAACGCTATAGAAGCAGCTCACAGTGCTAATTTATAATCCAGGGTTTTATGGAACAGTGCAGAGAATCATTTAGGTATAGGCATTACTAATAATTAGAAACTCAACTCTTAGCTTGTTTTACTAATGCAGCCTTATCCCTCAAGGAGAAGTATGTACTGTGTTCTCTGCCTATCAGCTCAGTGTCAGACTGTACTGAGGGGAGACATTTTCTGGTAACAAATGTCTAAGATGGGAATGGCCCTCACTTTGGGGGAGATTTTCTCTAATTTCCTGTTGAGTCTCCAAAACAGGAAGTAAAGGGAAATCTCATTAGAACACACAAATTGTCTGACAAGGGTTTTTACCCTTTCTTGTTCTATCCAAAGCCAACAAAAAAACATTTTGCCTATATACACTTTAAATGTTATTACAGGTTTTGTTATAGTTATATAGCAGTTGGTGAGTTTAGGTTCTCAGTATATATTATGGGCCTTGGGACAAAAAGAGATGAAAAGCAGAACTGTTAAGTTGGCCATTCGCTGAACGAGAAAAAATACTTGGTTTCCCCATCCACACTAAACAGTGTGGATAGGAGAATCCCGCTGCCGGCTATTGTATTGTGATAGCCAACACACGCTGCTGTAGGAATACATGAACATTGACAGTTTTTGGCCCGGCTCCTTCAACAGAAGTCAATTTAAACATTTAATTTTATCAAGTGTAGAGGTGCAGGCAGGACCACACACTGCCTGAATTTCGGGCCGAGTTAGCAGAACTCAGCTAAAATGCGAAACAGTGTAAGGCCGGCTTTACCAATAGCAATCAGATTACAGTTGTTTAATTTAGTGCTGCTGGGAAATTATCAGATATATGTTAGCTGATCTGTGCACACCAAGAGCTCTACTTTGGTGGTGCTGTACATAGAAACTTCTCTAGCCCCCATTAAAAGTATTTACTAGTGCCCACTTCTTGTTAATAAAGTGATATCTGTTAGTCTGAGATTAAATAGCATACACAAATTCAAATACAAACATTTTTATTGATATATTATCAAGCCCTTTGCAAATCTCATATCTTTCCATCATCTATATGGGTTCCCTTCCCAATTGACATTGGCAAATATGCATCCAGAGGAAAAAAATGTTTAATGAATAATATATATGCAGACCTCTATGTACAGTAATCCGTAGATTTAATTAGATATTGAATGCTGTGCTAAATATTTACTTTGTGCTCACAAAGACAATGATCTATAGACATTTTTGAATGCTGAATAATACATGAACTCCAGTGCTGCAGAGGTAGAGAAGTTAACCGCATAACAAGAGCCCGAGATGCCAGGGGGAAGCAGGGGGTTAAATTCACTGACAGCTGTCTATGTCCACATTCTTCTCTACAGCATCACTGCTGAGAATGACACAGTTACACCTTGTAAAGCTCCCTCTCAATCACTCCCAGGCCCCCCTGATTGTTTGTTCACAATGACACTATCTTGTAAGACAACTGCACAGCAATCCCCTCAGTAAGGGTGGGCAAGCGGAAACCCAATGCTCAGAAACAATGTGCTCCTCTGCATGGCAATGGAGACGTGACTGTAGCCATATTGCAGGTGACAGAGCTGTAGTGAGAGCTGTGTCTGTGGGTTCCTCTCACTCAGCTGCTATCTTCTAAGCAATCTCCTGGAAGATGACTGATCTGCTAGACAGCTCTAACAGTGTGGGAATATTCTTTTCCCTGCTTGAACGTGTGCCTCCGGCATGAAAATAAGATGTTAAGCTCCATAGCGTAGCCATCCATGGCACTTTTAAATGTTATTTTACAGTCTGCTAGGGAACATGCGCATGAATGTGTAAAAATATGTCACCGTTTATTATATCCTGGATATTGTGTCACAGTTATTACAGCCCGTAAAGTCATTCAGTGGTGCATTGTAGACTTTTATTGCGTATTAGTCCCCTAATAGCGTCTTCGCAGTTTCATCCTGCATATACGGATTTGGAGGAAACCCTATAAATGCTTTTTTTTCTTTTTATATAGAGCACATGTTGAAATAGTTCTAACATCTTTTCCGTCTGCTAAATTATTATATAAGAGAAGTTCGATCTAAATCATGTTAAAAGCACTATGCAACAGTTTCTATAAAACATAGATATGTCTCCATTGCATATCATAGCAGTATACCCCCTAATTCAGGCACACCTGAGTAATCCATAGAAAAGACATGTTCTCCGCACACCCTCTGCTTCAAAATGAATCTTTACTCATTTTCATTGGGCATATTAAAATAAAATGTGCAAGGTCTTCATCAGGCAAAGCTTCTATAAATGTCTGATCTTGCGCACCAAAGTAATGAAGCACTTGCGCCAATGTTCTAGTTTAAACACAGATGTGAAATATACACCATTACCATAGTGGTGTAAATGCTATTTTGAGGAGGGGCAACTGTGATGATCAGCACTGCAGAAAGGAGCAGGAAAGAAAGGAGATTGCGATGTGTATGGATGGCCAGCCAGGAGCAGAAAGGAAAGGAGAGGGGGATATGTGTAGACAGGAGGAGAGGGAGAGGATGTGCATGGACCGCCAGCAAGGGGCAGAAAGGAGAAGAGAGGGGGATGTGTTTGAACAGCGAGTGAGGATCAAGAAAGAGAGGAGAGAGGGATGTGTATGGAAGGCTCGCAAGGAGCAGGGAAGAGAGCGGAGAGGGATGTGTATGGACAGCCTGCGAGGTGCAGAAGAGAAAGGAGAGGGGGATATGCATGGACAGGAGGAGAGGGAGAGGATGTGTATGGACCGCCATCAAGGTGCAAAAAGGAGAAGAGAAGGGGATGAGTATGGATGGCCAGCAAGGTGCAGGAAAGAGAGGAGAGGGGGATGTGTATTGATGGCCAGCGAAATGCAGCAATATGAAAAAGAGAGGAGAAGGAGAAAATTCGGAAGAGAACCTCCTATTCCCACCCACATTTTTGCGCATTCAAAAGTATGTGCACACATCATCTGGGGCATACCACTTTTATTCATTTGTTGCAGGAAGCAATAATTAAGAAGGCATATAGAAACTGGTGCATTTTTAGTCTTTGTTAATTCCTCCTGCCCCATCGAGAGTACACTATTCAAAGTAGGAGTATTTTAGATGTTTCACAAATTCGACACTTTAAAAAAAAATAAACACTATTATTCCAGTGAAAGCAATGAATCACTGCATGTTTACCCTAAACTTGTGTGGCCTTATTTAACTAAAAACACACATGTCCAAACAACCCTGATGAATAATGTTAACACTGTGGTCAAAGCAACAGTCACTCACCACTGAGCATAGGGAGATTAGCTACTAAAGAATCATTTTTTAGGGAATACCATTAATTTGGCTACTTTGAGAGCCGCATTTGCTTCAGAACAAG